GTTTCGTTTCTTTCTTTCAGGAATTTTATCGTGCCCGGAAACTTATCAATCCACCCTCGTATTTCGTCTGTTTCCAATAATTTACTCTCTCATATTATCTCCTGACCTGTCAATCGCAACATTGTAACATAACAAGAGAGCGAGCGTCTTTTGATTCACTAATTTCACTACCCATTCACTATAACCTTCTTTAAAAACTGTTCTTACACAGCCCTTATACCTTATACTGCCCCAAATCTTTCTATATTTTTTATCTTTGATATCGTTATTTTAATACTCTACCCCCTTTACTTCCGGAATTAAATTCCTTTACAAACGTAGAATTAGCTATCACTTCTCATTCCTTATCTACCTCTTTATCCAACCATTTATTTAACCCTTCTCTAATTTTGCTGATAAATTATTTATCAGTGAAAATTTACGTCTCTCCCCTTATCTCCAGCTTTATCTAACAAACTTCGGAACTTATAATACTTCCCACACGTTTGCCCGGCTTCTGGCTTACCCCTAGTCCATTTCTCCATATATACCTTGGTGTATTTCTTGCTACCCTTAACTCCAATTTGTAATATCTTGCTTGTAACTCCCCATTTAACATTAGCCTTTTGTGGCATCGTTTCAGTGTGTATGCTCACGCTATTATATATTATTATATATAAAAGAAAGTCGTGCTAGTTACTTCACTTATAACTCAAGAACGGCTGAACCGATTTGGCTGAAAATTGATGGGGAGGTATCTTACAACCGGGAGAAGGACATAGGATACTTTTTATCACTTTCCACGAGAAAAATGTGGTATATGTAAACGCAACTGACATGGAATGACAAAACGAAATTGACAGCAAAACAAAAAATTTATCAGTCAAAACATCAGTCTAGCCTTTCATTTGTTAAGATTGCATGTTTGTTTTTGGTTCGATTTACTTGAAATTGATTAAAAAATTCAATCTCTGTTGGGGGGGATGAGTGGTGAAGAGGAGTTGCAATGTTTAAATGGAACATATTATTTGTGATCAGATTTACTTGAAACTTTGTTTTAATGGTCTCTCATTTAATTTCTGAAAGATCTATCTCGACAATTTAAAAAAGGGAAAGGTGTTGCAATTTTTGTTTGGGACATACTTTATTTATGGTTGAATTTACTTGAAACTTGGTATATATGCTGTTTGATATTATTAATCAAATGAAAAGAGGTTGCAACGTTTCCATGGGCTACATTTTATTTGTACTCGGATTTACTCGAAGGATGCTCATTGCTGAAATTAAGCAAATACGTGTTTTGGCAATTTTTAAAAATCAACCCTTAAGGATGAAATGTTGTTGCTACGTTTGTATTTGAAAGATGGCGACATT